GTGTAGCCAAACTGTTCATCAAGATGGTGGACAAAGAAAAGACATTTCTTGATAGAAGAGCAGAGTCCTACTGATTCTCTTCTTCCTCCCTGACAGAACCTCGGTTTCACTTGGGACGCCCATGTCTTCAGATACAAAACTTTACATCCCAGCCTCTTCCGCAGCGAGGGTGGCTGCTGGGTAGTTCCGGCCACTGAGGCCAAAGACTAGATGCAGGAAGGATTTCTGGAAACGGTGGAATCCCTAAAGCCTTGCTTTCCTGCTACATGTGCTACCCCGTCTTCCCCTCTGCCCTTTCCTTTGTCCTGATGCTGAACGGGGGACCTGAGTGGCTGGAGTTGCAACCTCTTATGATTTTGAGGCAAAGGCTGATGGAACCACAGAAGCCATGCCCTGGAACTACTTATCCCTGTACTTTGTTACATGAGGAAAAAAGAAACAGGCTTCTTTAAAGCTCCTGTTTCCGTTAGTCATAACAAAACACATCCCAATTTGTTATGAGTGAAGAAGAAAGAAAACTTAATTACCACCAAATATATGACTTTCTTTAGAAAACCCAAGCGAATCTACACTCACATTTCTTAGGAACAATAAAAGCGGGGCGCCTGGATGGCTCAGCCAGTTAAGTGTCTGACTATTGGTTTCGGCTCAGGTCACGATCTCAGGGTTGTGAGATCGATCCCCACATGGGGCTCCACATGCTCAAGATTCTCTCTCTCCCTCTACCCCTCCCCCTAGAAACAATAAGAGCATTCAGCAATATATTGATATAATATACTTAAATCAATTTTATGTCTGTCTATATGCCACCAAAGAGCTCAGAAAACTGAAGTTTTTAGAAGGTGTAATTTACAATATCAACACAAAATATAGGGTTCCTAGAAATAAATCTTATATAAGATGTACAGGATCTTTTGGACAAAATTTTTAAATTATTGAAAGCAGTTAAAAAGTTCTAAGTAAACAGAGACAGATATTATGTTTATGGAAGACTCGATCACACACAGGAATTTTCTTCCTCAATTGTTGTATTCTCCCAATTTATCTATAAATGAAAAATAATTCCAATAAAACTTAAAATAGAATTGTGTGCGTGACCCTTGTAAAGTTAATGCTAACATTTGTGAAGATCGAAAAGCCAGGAATAACCATCAAACTCTGGAAGAAGCAGCTGGGAGACTCCATTAGCCATATTTCAGTATTCATTATAAAGCTACGCTAATCAAGGCAGTGTGGGATCAGTACAGAAAGAAGTGTGTAAGCCAAGAGAAGAGACTAGAAATTTAAGTTCTCCCCCTGCACGTGAAAACTTTCAGTTGGAGAGTGTAAGATAAATGGTGCTAGGGCAACTCGTTATCAGTAATGAAAAAAAATCAGATCTCTAGCCTGTATCATACACCAAAATCAATTTCAGGTGCAAGAAAAGACCTAAAAAATAAGACTTAAAACTATACTGTGAGAATGTCTTTATGACTGTGGAGAATAGAAAGATGATTTAAGACAAAAACTACAAATCCCTAAGAAAAGATGGACACATTTGACTGCCTTTAACTTACTAACGTTAATGCATACAAAAATGCAGTAAACAACTGGAAAAGGGAAAATATAGCCAGGAAGAAGATAATTAGGATCTGAAGAACTTCTGATAATAAGAAAAAACCAAATAGTCCAATGACTAAATAGGCAAAAGAAAGCGATCCACAGAAGAAACCAGTGCTGCATGGTTAATAACTACAAAAAGATGCTTTCCCTCAGCAGTAACCAGAGACTGTAATGAAGTATCACTGATACGCCTCAGATCGGCAAAAGTGATGAATTCTGACAATACCAAGAATTGCGTGAGGACGCAGAGCACGGGAACTCTTGTATTCTCCTGGGTGAGTGTACAATGGCGTACCCACTGTCAGAGCCATATGGCGTACCCAGGAAAGGCGAAGACGCTCTTGCCTATGATGCAGCTATTTTACTCCCAAGTGTACACAGCCTAGAGAAACTCCGGGCCCAGACACGTGACCCGGAATGTTCACAGCGTCCTGCTCTGAAGTAAACTACTGTCATACGGGTAGCTTCAACACTAGCTGCCACATGTCACTTCTGGGGGATGGGTACAGAGGCACCTTTCCACACCTGTTTTAAAGGCAGAACGTGATGAGAGATACTGCAAAGTGAAACAGGTAAATCAGATTAGTTTCAGAACTTGTGGCATCACCTTTTGGAGTGGGAAAAGACTCGGGGAGATAGCCAGACCCCCTGAGGGAGATTTAGGTTTGTTTGTTTTTAAAGAAAGGCAGACTGGCACATGCAGCACCTCATTTGGAGGTGTCTGGAGTCTTGGAAGTTTGACTACCCTACGTTCTCCTACAAATGGACGTTGAGAGCTTGTTTGGAGATCCTAGCAGGGGAGCGCAGCTACTCATATAGCCTTGACCGAAGAATGGTCCTCCTCTATAGGGGAAGGTCGTCCCCTATGACCCAGTGCGCAGCTTTGGGAGGGACGCACAAGTCGCCGTGGTGAGGGTGTCAGCCAGATCAGCCGAATCCACCCTGGCGATCAGTGGGGTGACAGATGTCCCAGCCAGATTGCCCTCCCATCCCTGAGGGAGATTTTGATTGGTTTCTTTAGAAGCACTTGCATACTCTCCTTGACCTAAGAAGTGATCGGCACCTGGCTGAGTTACTGCACCTCCTTTCTCCTTCCTGGGCCATCCTGTCACTTCATAGGTGTGACTGACAAGTTGACATTGACCTCAGCACTCTGCTTTCACAATGACAGTGAGAGAAGCAGGGGCCCTGCCCTCTCAGTGGAAGAAATCTAGACACTGCTCTTCAAGTTGACATTGCATCATTTCCCAGCTGTTCTCACTACTTTTTAATGACATATTACCTATCACAAGACCCCATTAAGTAGCTTTCACCACAGAGAACTGATGAAACTGTGTGTTTCAATTTTCTTGCTTTGCATACTCCATTAAGTTGCTATTTACATATTTTATATAAAATTGTAGAAGAAAAATAATTATTTTAAAAGTCAAAACAATCTGTAAATATATAAAGAAGTAGTAGTACATAGCATTTCTGCAGGATTGAAACATTATCATGGACAGTAAGATTAAACACCACATCATGCCCAAGGCCCCTTCCCAGAGTCAACTTCATTATACGGAATTAGGACGTGCATGTTACTGTGGGACACAGGGGATCAGAGGATGTTCTAAGGACCCCTGAAGAAGCCTGGATAATTGTCTGAGTCTTTCCCATCACCGTAAGAGAAAGGAAGCAGGGCCACTGCCCGGACAGCCAGCCCTTGTTCCTGCTTAGTGCCCCTCCTGTCTTGGTGCCAGCCCTGGAAAGTGAAGTCGCTGCCAGGTCCGAAAGGACTTCACCAGCATCGAGACTGGGTCCCGGGAACGAACGGAACTCCAAAAAGTACAACTGTTTTAGGTTGGAAATGTTTTCAAAAAAAGTTTCTAATGAGAGCTCATGTCAGTTTCAGCTAAACAGTTTCAAAGGCTGTCACATATTTCTGTGCACTGAAGCAGATCCTGTCTCACCGTCCTTTCAAATTCTGATGAGCTCTCCAGACATTTGCCTCAAAATAGCTCTAGTTTTTCCTAATTGTTTCAGCAGTGGCTCATAGAAAAGTCTTTTAAAATATCTTTTTATCTTCAAATTATTTACTTGTTGAAATATTTATTTCCTTGTGGGAACCTCAGAGTTTTGCATGTTACAAAAGAATGACGTGGTTCTATATTTTAGTTTTTACAACCTTAGAGGTACTGGTCAATCAGGAGACAATCCCTTTGACATTCAACCAAAGCGCTTTGATTAAATTACTATCATTTTTTTTGTGTGTGTGTGTGTGTTTTTTTTTAAAGATTTTATTTATTTATCTGACAGAGAGAGAGAGAACAAGTAGGCAGAGACAGGCAGAGGGAGGGAGAGAAGCAGGCTGCCCGCTGAGCAGGGAGCCCGATGCGGGGCTCGATCCCAGCACCCTGGGATCATGACCTGAGCCGAAGGCAGACACTTAACCGGCTGAGCCACCCAGGCGTCCCAAATTACTATCATTTTTAAAGAGACTAGAGTTGACCTATTTCACAAGCTTGATGGTTTATTTTGGAATCGGCACTTATTTCATGAAAAGATCCACCTCAGTTTTTGTTCCTTTCAAATCAGACAGTTTTAGTATAACTAGGACCTATTACAGTTAATAAGTACTGGGAAACATTTTAAAACTTAGTAAAAAGCAGCTAATCTTGTAAAATCTTTGACTATGAAAATAACTTGCTACTTTAGTTAAAATAGCTGCTTCTCTGGAAAAGTAAAGTAGGTTTCAAGAACACATAATCATGAAGAAGGTTGGACAAAGAATTCTTAGATTCCACACCAGAAGTACAATCCATAAGAGAAAAAAAATACTTCATCAAAATTAAATTAATGAATTTAGTTAATTAAATTTCAGAAAATGAAAATATAAGTCAAAGACTGAGAAAATATTTGCAAGTCATATATCTGATAAAGGACTTGTATCTGGGATATATAAGGAAATCTTACAACTCAAACTAAAAAGGAAAATAATGCAATTAAAATATGAACAAAAGATCTGAAGACGTTACTCCAAAGAAAATATACAAATGATCCATAAGCACATGGAAAGGTATTTGATATCATGTCATGGGGGGGAAGCAAATAAAACCACAACAAGATACTCCTGCATATCCACTAAGATGTGTAAAAACAAAAAGATAGTGACAAGTGTTGGTGAGGCTGTGGGAGAAACTGGAGGCCTCGCACATTGCTGGTAGAAATATGGAATGGTGTAGCTCCTCTGGAAGATAGCCTGACCGTTCACAGAAAGGTTAAACACAGACCTACCTTTGACATAAGAGTTCCACTGCTAGGTATATACCAGATATATATATATATACACACACACACACACACACTTTTTTTTTTTTTTAAAGAAAGAAAACCTCCCTTTGTGCAAGGGTTTTACTTACTGAGGTTCCACTTCAGGCCTGTTGTCGTAACATGATTGCAAGACTGTCCAACAGGAATAAGGCCACACCAATCACCTTCCATTCCAGTATCTACATGCATTTTGTGCTTTCCCTGAAGTAGAGAAGGAATGATCATTAGCAGAGTGAAGAGAAAGGACAGGACATCAATGTGCACTGAAGATCTGGTCCTATGCACCAGGTACCATCCCAGAACTTCATGTGGTTATCATACTTAATCCTAACAACGAATTTAAGTAGTATGTGCTGAATAATCCCAGGAACTTTCACTTGACTTAATCCTAGTCACAATTTTGCAAGGTAGCTTGTTAATTATTACTTTTACACATGAGAAAATTGAAGCTTGCAGAGATTAAATGTGTCCAGGACCACACAGATAACAAGGGGGCAGAATCAGGATTCCTACCTATACTTGCCAATTCTAAAGACTGAACTGATTCAGCATGCTAATGATGTAGCCCTATATGACAGTTCTAGGGTTTTAATCAAACACTTGCTCAAGTGTAAATAAAACATTGCTTCCTAAGTAAAATCGCTACTTCATCTCAGACTTGGACTTCTAGCTTTCAGAATTCAATGTCAATCCTGCTAATGGTGAATCTGCTTCCTATGCCCATGGCTACTCTAGGGGATGCTCAGTGAGAAATATCCACCTCTACCAGGAAACAGTATCTACCTTGAGGAATGAGGATGCTTCCTCCATCTGGATTATGAAAACTGATATAATTTACTATGTTTTCAAGTTTTCAGTTTATAAGCAGGTTAAAGTTAAATGTAATGTTTAATCAAGGCTATAACATTTGCTTTTAAATAGAATACTTGGAAATTCCTCTTCTTCTGCAAAGTAATGACTTTCCATTACTTTTGTATTCTATTCATTATCCTCAGGATATATGGTCTTTATAGAAAGATACCTCAAGTCCTTATGGGGAAAATGCCAATACACACATCTATTCAATAATGACATTAAAAAGGTATTTTTAATAACTCATATAACTCTGAGGGGATAAAGATATTCTTTATTTTAATAAAATATTTAAAAGCTTAATATATGACACATTACCAGAGTAAGGTACTTACACCTCCTTTTACAGCATTTTATTCCAACTATGTCTTTTGTACTCTGTTATAGGCTCTGAGAACTTACTCTGCTGTATATAAGACCTCAGCATATGAGTAGGCTTTGTCTTTAGTCAAACAATTGCTTTTATTAGGAAATCAACTCTCTAAATTACTTATCAGTTCTTGAAATATAACACAAGTTCATATACATCTCTACTACCTATACAACTCATAAATATATATTTCTATTTGAACACTTAATCAAAAGGCATAAATTTAATTAAGAGGGCTTAAATATATTCAAACACAAAGAATGTTTAAAGAAAACATAAAATATATTTGAACTTGATGCCCATCACTGGGCAAACACAGGTAGACAAACACCAAGCAATGGATTAGATACACTCGGAGAAAAGTGGGTGGACTGAAAACACAAAGCATTGTGAAAACAATGCCCAGTAGGAAACAGAATTGGTATAAATTACAGAACCCATCAGGGGCGCCTGGGTGGCTCAGCTGGTTAAGCGTCTGCCTTCGGCTCAGGTCATGATTTCTGGGTCCTGGGATCGAGCCTTGTGCCCTGCATCAGGCTTCTTGCTCAGCAGGGATTCTGCTCTCTCTCTCTCTCTCTGCCTGTCCCCCATCCCCTCTTGTGCTCTCTCTCTCTCTCCCAATGTCCCTCCGCACCACTTGTTCTCTAATAAATAAATCTTAAAAAAAATAAATTACAGAACCCATCTATATAAATTGAAATACAAACACATCAACACACCTCTTCTAACAACAAAATTTAAAAATATGTTAAAAATTTAAATATACACACACACACACACACACACACACACACACACACACTAACATGTTTGCCTATGGGAAGAGTAAGGAGAATGGGAATGTGGTAGGGTTTAAAAGGGAGGCAAATGGATCAGCCAGTGAAGATTCTTGCCTGGACCAGAGATGATCATGTGCCATGAACCAACCAGCATAACTGACTCAACACCGAAATCTTATAAAAAGAACAATATGTTGTTTAGATATAAAGTGATACAAGACAAATTCTCAGACTCTTCTGAAGAAAAAATAGGGAAAATATTTTAACAATTCTAAACAATAATTCAAGAAAGAGGAATAATTGGGATGTAGCAATGGAAAAAAGAGTGAAATGAAAACTAATCTTGTTCTTGAATAATGATCTTTGTTGTTTTTGTTTTAGATCAATTTAGAGCAAAAGCATAGAAACTATTATTATAGCTATGGAAACATTTTACATATTCAGAGTAGAAGCAGTAACTGTCAGAAGATACAGGTATGGAAGGGGGAGGAAAGCGCAGGGGCACTCATCTTCTCATCATGTTACATCATAAGAGAGTCAAGAAATATTGCCTCAAGTAGTAGAGTTTTAAAGGCAGGGATTTAAAAATTGCTCCTGGCCTGAGTAACTGGTAATATGGGTAACGTGCCTAAGCAGCAGAAAGGGGACCGAGGAGGGAGACTTGAAATCACTCTGGCCACATCCTCCTCCATAAACCTCCATGCCAGTGTCCGAGATGTGACTCGTGCAGCTGCCTACACGAAGACTGTCATCACTGCATGGAAGGGGAGGCTGAGAGAAGTCGGAAAGATGCTCATCAGAGACCTGATCAGGTGCAGAGGAGTGGGGGGCAGAGTGTAGGCAAGGGGTTCCCTGCTGCTTGTGTGGGAAGAGAAACCAACTCCGCGAAGGAGGGTGCACATGCGCAAAGCCATGACTTGGTGGCGGGACACTCACTGACGGGGCCAGGCGGGGAGGCTGGGATGGTGGGGCACAGGAGGTTGTCAGGGCAGGGAAGCTGTTCTGTGGGACATGACCAATACATGACCTTATGCATTTGTCAAGACCCACAGAATCTATAACACAAGCAGTGAGCCCTAATGTACCTTAAGGGCTTTTACAAATAATAATATACAATATTCGTTCATCACCTGTAACACAAGTCCCCCACTAATGCAAGATAATAGGGGAAATTGTGAGCAGGAGAGGGGATATATGGAAACTTTTTCTAATCGGCTCAATTTTCTGTAAACCTAAAACCGTTCTAAAAATAGTCTATTAATTAAAAAAAAAAAAAAAAGTCTCTCCGTGCCTTTCAGTTTCTCATCCCTTAACGGGACTGTCAGCAATGTGATGGGAGGTCTGAAACCCCGGCCAGCCAGATGCGCGGTACTACACAAAGAGAAACGTGCAGCTGCTTCTTAGCAACCATTACAACTTACGCAGCTTTTCCCCCTAAAAAACAGGGTTTTCTTTTTGTTTGTTTAAACCATGAGCTGCCTTAATTTCTTTGTACAGAATTTTTCCCTCAATTGATTTACATTGACTAGCTTTGCCAGAGAGTTTGAGTATTGTTTCTCCCCACCACTCTCCCTTATAGAAATAACTCTCTCTGAAGGTATAGATGTTAAATATAACACAAATTATCATCCAGAGATGCAAACGTAACACACTTTGACAAATTCTGAAAGCCTCCTTCATATGAAAGGGAATCTTGTAGAAATTTCTGATTTCCCTAGGAGTGCTTTGGCTTTAGCAGCAAAAGAACAGAAAGTGGTGGTGGCTTTTCATGTTGGTGGATCCTGGTCCGATAAGGGCTGTCCTCCCAGGGTCCGCATCAGAAAGCACAGCACACCAGAGGGGTTACAGGTAACCCACAGCCCCTTGAGCACTGGGTGGCAGACAGCACCAGAAGGGCAGGAATGCCCACCAGGCCCAGAGGGCTATACCTCTGTCCCAGGTAACAGCGTCTTTGACAATGGGGCCCACTGTTAGAGACTGTAACTTCATTCCTTATCAAAGAGGAATTTGTGTGTCATTGGGTTGTCTTTCTTTCCATGTGTTATAGTTAACCCCTATCTTTTAATTGAAGGCCTTCCTCCCCGTTTCTGGTCTACTTAACGGTTTGGTCATGGTCAGCTAAACACATGAGTATGTCTGGTGTTCCAGCTAACTTCCGTAGAGAATGGTGAAGGAGCTGGGGGGGTGGGGCGGGGATGGGGGGTGATATAGGGGCTGGGGATTAAGGAGTACACTTGTTGTAATGCACACTGGGTGATGTATGGAAGTGTTGAATCACTATATCGTACACCGGAAACTAATACAGCACTATGTGTTAACTACACTGGAATTTAAAATTAAGAAGAAAAAAAAGAATGGTGAAGGAAGTAAGGAATGATTTCTCAACCGGTGGACATTAACTCCCTAAGAGGAGATTCTTCAACTTGCATCATATAATGCAAAGGAAACAGCACATATACATATTAAGTTTTATTATCCCAGGGAGAGGATGCTGTTATAAAATCCACTGATTTAAATGACACAGTGGTAAATTTTCTTTTCTAGGCTTGCTATATATTCATTGCCTTCCTCATTATGTTAACATTCAACACACCTTGAAATTTTTAATCTGGGAATAAACAAGTTTGTGGACTTGAGAAGTCACAGATATGTTTTACCTGCAGTCAATTAATATTTTTCTTCTGTTCCACAAAGATGCTTAGCCGTACGTGAATGGTCTTTGTGTTCATAAATATGCATTAGCTTTGTATGGTTAAAGGAGGGCAATATTATGCTTTTCTCCTATATCTTCAGTCTGTGTGACGTCTTTAAATAATGAACAACAAAAGGAATTTTTGTTCACTCCTCAGATTTCTCGATTCATAATGTAAGCTAGCCTGTATGTGATTTGACATAGGCAGGCATGCAGCCTGACATTAAAGAACTCCCCCAAAGATTTATGCCGTTACTGAAGACTAGAGGCACATGAACTAATCACTGACTTCCATCTATTCTCATGAATCATTGCACAGGTTTCTGCTCTGTCCCCTGTTCTGAGCTAAGATAACTCTTTGAAGTCAAAGGCAGTTCTATATAGTAAAGATGGGACAAAAATCAATCAGATGGTTTGCTTTTCCAATCATGGTTATTTTTAACATATTAACAACCTTAGTGAGGTAAGGAATTGTAATTTAGTGGAAGGTAGCAAAGCTATTGCTTGG